GAAAAGCTGGAGAACATTTCTACAGCACAGGTAGCGACTGCACCAGAGCCTGCTGGACAATGCTCCCCAGCTCTCCTTTTAGACCTTACGGGCTCTATTCCATAGATGCGCATTTTGCTCCATCCTCTTCTACAGTTACGAGCTGTCCGTCTCTCCACTGTGCCAATCTTTTCTTGCCCAATCAACTTAAATAACCAGTTACAAACCTACTGAGGCACTTGCTGACAGCTCCGTAATCCTGCTACTTCCCCGTCTACTCTTTCTTCTCCTGCCCTTGAAGGAGGAGGAAGGGGGTTCACACCCACTTCATTAGGTCCTGAGTTATTCTCTGGCTGTTCTTAGGAAAGGCAAATTGCAAAGTCTGAAGGACAGAAGCGCAGCTTCTGTGTTTCTACAGCAGCTAACACGACAGGGCCCTGAGTAGGGCACATGCCTCAGTACCTCTTCAGTTTGTACAAAACAATGGATTCGCACAGGAAAAGCAGACAAAGGGAAGGAGTGCTTTTCCACAGAGGCACTCCAGCAAAGTAAACACACTGGAAATGATGCACAGCAGCCAAAGTTTGCCTTTTTTTTTTTTTTTTTTTCCCCCTGAGAGACATAGGAATTACACCACAGCCTGAAGCTGGAGCCAAGTGCTGTGAGTAGAAATCAGTTGTTGCTTATTAAGAATTTTTTGCCTTTACCTGCAGTTTTTCAGGTCTTCCAATCTTCTGCCTTTCCCCTGCCACACACACACACGTGCAGAGGACGTAAAAATCCATGCTTAGGCCCTTGAGTTCCTCACCTAACAATGGTGAGGAATGTCCACAGTTCCCCTTATTTTGCACTTTGGAGACAGGGTCTTTTGGCGTGACTGTCCCATTTGGGCCAAAGACTTCGTATCTTTCCTACCTTTGAAAGAGGGAGGGTGGCATATCTGAACTTCGTTTTAGTTTCTGTTCCTGTATGCATCATGTTACCCCATAACCTGTGACATACTTTGCCTCACACGCTCTGTATGACCCATTCGACTTTCCTGCACCCTCCTCCTCCCGTCATCTTTCTGCTTTATTTAAAAAGACAAAGATCATCCAGCTGCCAATATTTCCCCTCTGCCGGAGGAGCGGACTCCTCCTAGCGCTCTGCCCCTTTGCTAACCCTGACATGCCGGTTTATGAACCTCCCAGTGTCCAGTTGTAGAAGAAAGCCTTCCTCTTTGCTTGGCTAAACAGATCGTGAAACTCAACTGAACGGAGTTTGGGTGTGGGTCTGACGGGGATCCTTTTTTCTGTCCAGATACCTGTGGCCTTCTTGTGCTGAAGGGACTCCAGCATAAATGTGCCACTGGCCAGCAGATCTGTGTCTCTGGGGGTATCTGCACTGTCCACGGTCTGGGCACGAGCTGGAAGGTTTTGCTAGAAAGCGGGGGGGAAACGTATTGGTAAAGAATACACTTTACAAAGTTCATGCCAGATTTGACAGCACAAAATTTAATGCAGGCTGAACCGGTGGAGTTTAGTTACTAAAGAAAGCTGAGCCGTTAGCACAGCTTAGACCACCTTTGTTAAACACGCTGCCCCTGCCATTAAACCTTTGTCTAGACAAGGCCACGGGTCTGGGGTGTGCTGCTGAGCCCTGCTCGCTCTAAGCATTAGGTTCAAAATGATTGAGCAAACCACATCCTAATGCCCTGGCGCTGCGTGAAACTGGAATAACACTGGCGATATGAAAATAGTGTGTGAAAAGCCCAGACCTCCCACTGCACGATAGTAATTCCTTTCAACGTTCATTCCGCTGTCCAAAATACTCACGCGAAATCTCTCCCCGGAGTCACTTTACCCTGCAGCACAGAGAGCAATTAGTTTTAATGGCATTAAATAGATCTCCTTACGATGCACGAGTTACACCACCAAAGCAAAGGCGCGGGGCTCGGGGCGATGGGGCGGGGAGATGTGTTAGACGGACCACCTGCCTCGCGGACGCCATTTGCACCCGTTGTTTAGGCTGGTCGGGAAGGTATGGCTCGATCCCGGCAGTGTGGGGGCTGCGTGGGGAAACTGTGGAAGGAAACGAGCTCGCTAAATGCAGCCGGGGGAGAGGAGGCCGCTGGGCGTTGGAAGGAGGGAGACACCTATTCCCCAAGCGCCCGAGACCCACCAGCCACAGGCAGCGCAGCTCGTTTCCCCAGAGCAAAGGACGTTGAGGCGGGGGG